AGACTTTATTTCCAGAGTCTGAACTCCCTGAGCTTTCCCACTTATGCCCCACTCTTGTTTTCTAGAATAATACATGGATCAGAGATCATGAGGACAGCGGGTCTGTACACTTGGGGACCCCAGGCCCATCCAGTGGAGGTCTAGCCTCCCAGAGTGGGGACAACTCCAGCGACCAAGGTGAGAGACCTGGGAGGGGCAGAGGAAACATGGGAGTCACTCTTAGGATTGGAGTTAGACTGTGAAAGAGACTTTCAGATAAACAGCTGAGGTGTGGTGTCTAGACTGAGAGTTCTGAAGTCCCCTGTTCCTCACCACCACCGACGGAACGTGCCTATCCCCCTCCCTCAGGAGACGGGCTGGACACAAGCGTAGCCTCTCCCAGTTCTGGAGGGGAGGATGAGGATCTGGACCAGGAGCGACGGCGGAACAAGAAAAGAGGCATATTCCCCAAAGTGGCCACCAACATCATGAGGGCCTGGCTGTTCCAGCACCTTTCGGTGAGAACCTGCAGCCTGGTGGAGGTGGGCACAGCTAGAGGATGTCCCCTGTCCCAGAGACCAGATGCCCCAAGAACCACCCAGAGATGAGTCCATCCTGCAGCCCCCCATCCTTCTATCTACTCAACTATCATCAATCACCCACATGCTATCCCTCTCAATATATGTTCTGGGGGAGGGGATCTATCATAAATGCATTGTGCACATGAGAAGTCAGGAGACTTATTCAAGGTCACCCAGTCAGACATGGGTTCAAATGCAAGCAATCCTGCCTTAACTATTGCACCACATAGCCTGTAGAGAGAGACAGATAAACAATCAAGGAGAGGCTAAAATCGAAAGGTATGGAGAAGATGGTGGGAGGAATGTAGAGATGGGGACAAACCGAGGGGACAGAAGAACAAAAACAGAGAGAAAAAGAGAAACTCAGAGCAAGGCATGGCAGCTCTCTGTGAGAGATGCCCATCCTGGTCTAAATAGTGAATTCTAGGCTAGCTGGGTCTACATGGAAATTCTGTCTCCAAAACAAAAAAGTCAAATAAATAAATTGGGGATGGTGAGATGGCTCAGTGGGTTAAATGTGCCTGCCACCAAGCCTAGGAACCCAAGTTCAACCCCTTGGACCCATTTGGTAGAAGGAGAGAACTGAGTCCCACAAATTGCCCTCTGACCTCCACATGAGTGCTATGTCATGCACACATGCATTTGTACACACATGCTTGCACACATACACACACACACGTAAATAAATGTAATTTTTTAAAAAAGGAGCCAGGTATGGTGGCACATGCCTTTAATTCCAGCACTCAGGAGACAGAGGCAGGCAGATCTCTGAGAGAGACCAGCTTGGTCTACATAGTGAGTTCCAGCCTGGCTGTGGCTACAGGGAGACCCTGTCTCAAAAAAACAAAAACAAAACAAAACAAAAAGAGATAGGATGGACTGAAGAGGTGGTTCAGTGGTTAAAAGCACTGGCTGTTCTTGCAGAGGACCAGGGTTTGATTCCCAGCACCCACATGGCAACTATCAACTGTCCTTAATTTCAGTTCCAGGGGATATGACACAGTCTTCTGGCCTCTGCAGGCATTTCATACATTCATACCCACCAAATAAATAAATAAAAATTTTTTGTACATAGTGGTGCAAGGCTTTAATCCCAGCACTCAGGAGGCAGAGGCAAATAGATCTCTGTGAGTTTGAGGCCAGCCTGGTCTACATAGTGAGTTTCAGGCCGGCTAGAGCTATATAGTGAGACATTGCCTCAAAAAAAATACAAGCAAACCAAAATGACAGTAATATCTGTTTCTACCACGTTGTATTGATTGAGATAAATTGTGCAAAGGGATCAGCACATAGAAACTTGATTAATAACAAGTAGTGCCCTTCTTTTGTTTCTATGTCTATATTTGTGCATTATGCAGGCACATGTGTGTGGATGCAGGGATGCTTGCCACGTGTGTATGTGAAAGTCAAAGGTTAACTTGAAGTGTCTTCCCCTGTTACTCTCCGCCTTACATTTTGGAGCAGGGTCTCTCACTGAGCCTAGAGTTCACTAATTGGCTGGACTGGTTGGCCAAGAAGCCCTAGGGATCACTGTCTCTACCTCCCACCCAAGTGCTGGTGTTACATGTATACACTGGACACCAGGCTTTTTACATGGGTTCTGGGGACCCAAACTCAGGTCCTCACAGTGGCCCAACAAACACTATACCCACTGAACAATCTAGGCTAACATGTGAATTCTAGCAATCTTGCTGCCACCAACTTTTGCATTTAAAGCATTCCTGTGAGATGGTATCTCTGTATATGAAATAGAGAGCTCATATATGTTGTAAATATATTGTAGAGGCTCAAAATCACAGAGAAAGCCAGAGTTAGCATGACCAAAGAGGATAGAAATGGATCCACCTGTGGACTGAACTATTTCTTCTATCCTTATCCACATTTCAGTTTCCTTACAAATAAACAAAGGATTCCTTTCCATTATCCTGGTTCCTGTAGTT